TGTTAATTGGATATCTAGGTATTTTATTCTCTTTGAAGCAAGTGTGGATGGGAAGGTTCAGTCATGATTTGGCCTCTCTAATTGGTCTGTTATTGGTGTGGTATAGAGCCCTGATTCCTTGCACATTGGATTTTGTATCCTGAGACTTTGCTGAAGTTATCAGCTTTAAGGAGAATTTTGGGCTGAGAGCAACGGTTTTCTAAAATATACAATATGTCATCTGCAAACAGGGACATATTCGACTTCCTCTTTTCCTTAATTAATACCCTTTATTTCTTTCTCTTGCCTGTAATTGCTGCCAGAACTTTCCAACCTCCAACGCTATGTTGAATAGGAGTGGTGAGAAGGGCCATCCCCGTCATTATGCCAGTTTTCAAAGGGAATGCTCCAGTTTTTGCCCGTTTGGTATGATTATTTGTTTTGGTGGGTGTATAATACGCCCCTTATTATTTTGAGATACGATCCATCATATCGATGTTATTGAGAGTGGGTTTACATGAAGGGGCTGTTGAATTTTGTCAAAGGCCCTTTTTGGCATCTATGGAGATAATCATGTGGTTTTGTTTGGTTCCTGTTTATATCCTGGAATGACATTTATTGATTTGTGATACTGTGAAACCAGCCTTTCGCATTCCCAGGGATATAGCCTAAAACTTGACTATGTGGATAAGCCTTTTGGATGTGCTGCTGGATTCCGGTTGCCCAATAATTTTATTGAGAGTTTGTATCGATGTTCATCAGGGATATTGGTCCTAAAATTCTCTTTTTGTTTGTGTCCCCTCTGCCAGGATCGGGTATCAGGGTGCTGGCTCATAATGAGTTAGGGAGGATTTCCTCTTTTCTATTGTTGGAATCACCTTCAGAAGGAATGGTAACCAGCTCCTCCTTGCACCTTTGTAAATTCGACTGTGAAATCTGTCTGGTCCTGGACTTTTTTTGGTTGGTAGGATATTAAATTGTTCCTTCAATTTTCAGAGCCTGTATCGGTCTATCGGGATTCAAATTTTTTCATGGTTTTAAGTCCTTGGGAGGGTTATTGTCCAGGAAATTTATCCATTTTCTTCTAGGTTTTTACCTAGTTTACTTTGGCCATAGAGGTGTTATAGTTTCTCTGATGGTAGTTTGGTATTTCTGTGGGGTCGGTGGTGATTATCCCCTTATCACTTTATTGTGTCCTATTTGATTCTTTCAGTCTTTTCTTTTTTATTAGTTTTTGACCTAGCGGTCTCATCATTTGTTGATCCTCCTTCAAAACCAGCTCCTGGGATTCAACATGGATTTTTGGAGGTTTTTTGTGTCTCTATCTCCTTCCAGTTCTGCCTCTGATCTAAGTTATTTTCCTTTGCCTTCCTGCTAGCTTTGAAGTGTTTGCTCTCTTGCTTCTCTAGTTCTTTTAATATGATGTTAAGGGTATCAATTTTTAGTCC